TGCATATTTACCTCTATTCTCTCTCTATTTTTTCCAGTATTCAGTTGTTCATTTWTCCATTTATTTCAGAACATCTTAAAAGGCAAGATAAAGAGAGATGCTTATCTTGTGTKCGTTCAAGGGGAGTTGCACATGGTCATGATACAAACATTGATGGTCTAAAGATCACAATACCAGAAATAAAACCCACAAGTCTTAGTGGTATTATCACGACAACATACTCTATAGAGGTATGATTCAGAGAATAGATGAAAAGTCATGTATATTTTTAGTGATTATCATAATTAATAATTTATTAGAATGCACATCACATGTTTGTGAAACAACCACATATCTTTTTAACACAAACATAATATTTTTGCTGACATATTATTTGAGTTGCATTAATGTTTTTAAAACAAAGTTAATATATCATTTATTACATGTAAAACATCTGAGTGATATGCAATTGGATGTCTTGAAGTTATATTGACTATATTTTCTTCTTCCAGATAATTATTCATTTTGATAAGAAGCTCATCAAAGATCCTCAGTTCAGCTTTCCTGTTGTCATTGGCAATGTGCACTCTACACAAATTGATAGATTGATTGATAATCAGTGACATTTGTTGTCTAACAGCAACTTGTGATGACTTGGTATCTTAGCAACCTCTAGATTAGTAATTTTTGTTGATAATCATGTGTATATTAAAAGAATTATCAAATTCTCCAAGCTGGTAAATCATAACAATAACAGAGGCTCGCAAAGCATAATGGTGCAAATTAACTGGGCCTTTAAAATCCTGCTTTAGTCGTTCTTCAGAATCAGAGCCATATTCAGATTCTATTTTTTATCATTTTAAAAGAGATGTGGCAAACTTTCTCTCCCCTCCCCCCCCCTCCCATCCCCCACTTGCACACCTCCCCCCACCCAACAACTTGGATCAGCCAAAATGAAAGACAAATAGATTAAAAATTGAGTAAAAGAAAAACAATGCATTAATACTCACCTTTATGGCTCGAATTATTGATTTATACATTTCCAATATTATTTGGCGCGAAATCAACAACTGAAGAAGACTGGTATCACTTACACAGGGAACCCATAAAATGTAGCATTTTGCAAGGCATCTTGGGTTAATGCCAAGAAAGAGGACGTATACAAAACGGGAATTAGAAGTGATGATTTCTTTACGAATCACCGCACTTTTGAAAAGGTTTCATTCATAAGTGACAATGTCGGCCAGTCGGAAAGCTACAGAAGAGCTGATACGTACAATATGTCTGTAGATCATGCGAAGAACACTGAGAAGATCGTAGACCTTGAAGAGAGGGAGTTACAAGAAGCTCCAGAAATGATGGCGACGGTGATATCTTCTCAGACGGCGTCATCTATGTCTGTAGAAGAGATCTTGAAACAGTTTAACACTCACGGGGCTAATGGCCTTCCCAATGATGAGATTGAAAGGCGCCGAATGCTCCATGGATGGAACGAATTCGATGTTTCTGAAGAGATACCACTATGGAGGAAGTACCTGGATCAGGTGAGAGTTGGAGGGAGTTAAAAAATGTTTGGGACTTGAAAGCAGGTTTCTAACGGTCAATCAAGAAAAAACAACATCCAACGTAAATAAATTATCCTTTATAGACACTTATTATTGAACCTTTTAGAAACGAAGTAAGCTTAGCTTCGATGTTTTAAAATTGAAATTAAAATTGAATGCAAACTGGAATTTGCTCAGATTTTACGAAGGGTTATTATTTTTTAAGCTTGATTCTCCCAGGATTAGTAAACATCGATAAAATTATCATTTTTAGATTACTTTTATATCTTTACTGTGTAGTTTTTAAAAGTAATTACACAGGCAAACTGCATATGGCTTGYGTACAGCATCACATCAGCTGTTCCATACGTTTACACAACAAAGCTTAATTACTTRCTAGTAGTGCTTTACTAGATTGGGTTTAATTCCAGGCAGACATGACTATAAGTCACCATATCTCTCTATCGCCTAYAWTATGCTTTGGGTCCCTCTTTACAAGACCAGCATCCTTTTCAAACCGGTCCAGATAGGGAGGGATTCAAGCTAAATCATTGCATATATTGATCACGAATATAAAGCTAATTATAATCACTATGGRTACTCCTTGCTAAGAAACAGCATCCTTTGAACCCCTTACTAATACAGAGATTTTATTAGAAGCCGTCAACCAGTGAATTCTGGCATATATTTTGACCTTCAAGCTAGCTACTTTTGCAAAATTACAGTTGTAATGATTGTGCTCCGTATTGTATACAGTTAATTTTTCCGAATAGCCATCTACTTCCAAATTTGATGAAACCCCTGCTAATATTTTACTAGATAACGTCTTATTTATTTTTTATCCTGTTTTCTGCAAAGTTTCATACAATGTATTGACCTTGTTTTTTTTTATTTAAGTTTAAAGAGCCCATGATACTTCTACTGTTAGCTTCTGGATTTGTTAGTATTTGCATGGGTCAGTATGACGATGCCTTCAGCATTACAGTAGTAAGTAGAAACTGTTTAACACATGTTTGTTAAGGTCTACACCTACATGTACATGTATTTCAAAAAACGTTGTTAGGAGAACAGCAACAGCTACTGTGTTGTCAAAGGGAGATTGCACTATCGAAAAGGACTATGGTTGCTCTGTTTTGTATAAAGAATTCAACTTGTTGCATGAAAATGGAGACTAAATGGAGTTAATGTTTACAAAAGACTAGCTCACAGTATAAATTACTTTTATTTCCCATAAGTAGCAAAAGCCATGGTTCTTTTCAGTTGTGCAATCTCCARTTGACATTTTATCTTACAATCTTTTTTAAACTTGGTAATAATAACGTCATTTTGGATTTGTTTATTTTTAGGCCATTCTTATTGTAGTTACAGTAGCATTTATACAGGTATGCATACTGTTCAGATACACATATAAATGTAAATATAATACAATTTAAGATGAAATATCTTCTTCTGATGTTTTGACAAAGCATGTATCCTTGGACAATTTTTCCTTCTTCTTATTGCACTTTTTATGGACACTTTTGGTGTGAAGAAATATGAACATTATAATTTTCTGTTTTTTAGGAATATAGATCTGATAAATCAGTGGAGGAGATATCAAAACTAGTACCACCTCAATGCCACTGGTAATGTTGAACATTAATTAATTATTGCACCTKRTGTATAATCCAGTCYTCATCCATTCCCAGGCRTGGAAAAAGGGAGKAGGATGGCATTTCTCCATTTTGGRRGGGCTARGGAATTGCTGTGCACAGACTACCATCGTTGTTACTCTAACAAGCTCAATATACATTTTAATAAAATAGTTTAAACACACAATCTGTATAATTTTTAGCATCCGTAATGGCAAATTATATGATTTTTTGGCACGGAGYCTTGTTCCTGGTGACTTRGTTTGTATATCAGTTGGCGACAGAGTTCCAGCAGATATAAGACTCATTGAGGTAAGATAACAGCTGGTTTTTAGTAATTACAATAATTGACTGTATATCATGTTTGGTTTGCTATCATACATGTATCTTGTTGTCCGGCACACTACGTCCGAAATGGATTGTAATGTTAAGAATTGAGGATGGCATTGATCAATGGAAACACCTCAACATCTTAAAAAAGTTGTTTACATCCACAAGAATCATCAACCTATTTAATCAATTATACTATTATCAATCAATTTATTTAGTTTCTGTTTTTGCATTTGCAAATTCTGAGTTAAAGACATTGAAAATCTCAAATTCCACACACCCAAAAAAATAGCTGGATTCTCTGATTCAAAAACCCCTGTTATTATTCAAAACCTTACAAATTTGTTTTATCAATTTCAGGCCGTAGACCTTCAAATAGATGAATCTAGTTTTACKGGTGAAGCTGAGCCTTCAATCAAGATGATTAAACCAGACCCAACAGAGTCTAAAATATCCTTAAGTAGAAATATTGCTTTTATGGGGACACTGGTCAGAAGTGGTAGAGGAAAGGTAAAGTCATTTACAACTGTATTTATGTCATACTGAAGGTGTTAAGATAGTCTCCTTCACAGTTACCTGCGCCATCTCGAAAGGTAGCTGTACCTTTACATGGAAGCAAGACAACCGTTGAGCAAGCAATGATAGAAACCTGTTAATAATCGTCTGTAGGTGTGAAAGAAGGTTTTATCATTGCACGCTCAACGGTCGTCTCGCTTTGATGTAAAGGCACGACTACCTTTCAAGATGGCGCAGGTAAYYGTGAAGGAGACTATTTTAAAGCTTTATTCACATGATAAATCTAATGACGATCTTCCACTCCAGGGTGTGGTGATTGGTATTGGAGAAAATTCAGAGTTTGGAGAAGTATTTAAACTCATGAAAGCTGAAGAGGTAAAAAAGTATATGAAAATAAAAACTTATTATTGTGATCACCATAAGTGTGAACGTCATTGTAAATATTATTTCTTTTTAACTGTCTACAGCCCCCAAAAACACCTCTTCAAAAAGACATGGATGTTTTAGGAAAACAGTTGTCGTTTTATTCTCTTTGTATTATAGGTGGGTATTAGTTTGCTATGTTGAGTATTTTTTCAAGTCATTATTGTTAGTATGTATGAATATTGTTTTTGTTTGTTTTAAACAGCTTTAATTATATTACTGGGTTGGCTGCAACAGCGTAAAATCTTGGAAATGTTTACTATTGGTGTTAGGTATGAACTGCCACAATTTAATGATTATCACCCAATTAATTTTTTTTTTTTTAATTATTCAACCAATCAATCACCCAATTAATTAGTCAATCAATAATCAATTAACTAAACAATCAATTTCACAATCAGTTAATCAATCAATCATTTAACTAACAAATCAATCAGCTAATTAATTAGTCAATCACCCAGTCAGTCAATCAATAATCAAAGCTATCAATCACTAAAGCAATTAACACCTAAAAGACCAATCAATCAATCATTGAGTCAGTAAATCACCTAATAAATAAATAAATAAATCAGTCAGTCAATCAATCACCCAGTCAATCAACCAATCACTCAACCAATCACTCAATCAATAACTCAATCAGTCAATCAATCTCCCAACCAATCAATCACCCAGTCAATCAACCAATTACTCAATCAATCACTCAATCAATCACTCAATCAATCACCTAATCAATCAATCAATCACCAAGTCATTCAATCAATCACTCAATATATTACCCAATCAATCAATCAATCACCCAATCAATCAATCAATCATCCAATCATTCAATCAATAACTTGTTACTGTATTCAATTGATTCGATTGATTCAATCAATCACTCAATATATTACCCAATCAATCAATCAATCACCCAATCAATCATCCAATCATTCAATCAATAACTTGTTACTGTATTTTCAGCCTGGCTGTAGCTGCCATCCCAGAAGGTCTTCCTATAGTTGTTACAGTAACACTAGCCCTTGGTGTTATGAGAATGGCTAAAAGAAGTGCCATAGTTAAAAAATTACCCATAGTAGAAACACTAGGATGCTCCAGTGTAGTGTGTTCTGACAAGACTGGTACATTAACCAAGAATGAGATGACGGTATCTCAGATATTTACTGCTGATGGATGTTTTGCTCAGGTAATATTCCCTCCCCTTCAAGGTTCCCTGCACAATCTGGAAAACTACACATTAATAAATTATGTTATGAAGTGTCACTTATGCAATATTTTTGTGAACTGTTGCTAGGTTACTGGCGTRGGTTATAACCTGGAGGGTGATGTTACAATAAATGATGAACCAATTTCTGTTCATGATAACATGTCTGTGTCCAAGTTGGTTGAGGTAACAATAGCAAAATTGAAAAATAATAATTTGAAAAAATTACATGTACTCTTTCTTGAATTGTTTGATGAAAACAAAAATCAAACAAAATGATTCTTGAGAATTGATTTGCTTTTAATAATTATAATGATTGTGGTTATAATAGTTACATGGGCTTCCAAAGGAAGACCATGTCTTAAATTACTGACGTTTTTCGTCTGTGGTATGCTTCAAATTATATCCGGGACCTTTTCATTTTTGACATCTATTGTCTTACTGTCATTCATGTTTCTAAGCAACGATTCAAAGGTCGCTTCATGCTTCTTCGGACCTTCGTAAAGCCGGCAAAGTCTTAAGATCGAACATGTCGAATCTATCTAGCTTCTACAAATAGGCTAGATTCTTTTACAAATCCACACACCATTCGCGGCATAGCCACACTAAAAAAAATCGAGCATTTCTCAAAAGGGCATTTGGAGAGATACGGTGAATTTATATCGTGAATCTACCGATCGTGAATTATCTACTATCAACATTAGCTCATCAAAAGCTAACTTATACTAGTACAGGCTCTACAATCACCAAGGACTTATCTAAGACATGTCAACAGATTTATACTSAGGAAAAACAGAGGATAGGAAGTATTCTAAGCGAAGAACATGAAAGACTATCGATCTGTGTTTAATACAGCCAAGTATGCGACTCTTAAAGTAACGKCTCGTCAAACATAAATTACTTCTTTCACAATATTATTAAATTCTACTATTTTTAAGTACATTGCTTGTTTGATTATATTTCATTAAAGGAAAACTTTTTTGGCTGTTGTCTTTAATAGTAATATTAATTTCATTAGGGTTCAATATCATTTACTGATTGTGATATACCACAGGAAGCCCATGTAAACGATCGCTGATCGTCTAGTTTATTATTCTTCCAGACTGGGTTACTATGCAATAATGCACATATAAGGAATGGTCGGCTGTATGGTCAACCAACAGAGGGCGCCATAGTAACAGTTGCATACAAGGTATTATGATGTGACCTTACTCTTTGTTTTGAATTCACGTCACAGTGGCCATATTGGAGGAGTCAACAAAGGATTTCTTATCAATATCTATTGTTCATTTCTCYAACATAGCCACTGTGGTCTTTTATCCTTTGGATCTCATGAGAAWGGTTGAAAACAATCAATTCACTAAGAATAATGTTTAACTCAGACTTCAACAAGACAAAGAACTTCTCAAAGATAGTTGCAGATATATTGCCATTGTTCTTTGCTTCAATTTGCTTCAATTTGCCTGAGTGCTTTCATCAGTGTTTTCTAACACTAATATGCATATTCGTAAATCCTTTGTCTTCTGTTGTTTAAAAAGTGTTTTTAAAAAGTGTTTTAAAGGTTAAAAGGTTTGGACAATTTCTTACAAAATGCTTCACTGAGTCACTCTAGTTGTATTTTACAAAGTAACATCAAGTTTTATTATCATTTATTAACCAAGAAAAGTGCATTATAAATTGTGTTTATTGCTCTTCTTTTAGCTCGGCTTTCATGATATCAGAGAGGACTATGTTCGAACAGATGAAAGACCATTTAGCTCTGAGAAGAAGCTCATGGCAGTGAAATGCAAAAGGCATTCTCCTAACAAGGCAATGGCAGATGTAAGTTMTACATTATGTGAAGGAGGTGTTGTTTACTATATGCCCTGTKTAGGGAATACAAGTACATTTGCATCTCCAAAATCACTAGTACACTATTTACCAGCACAAAATAGTACTGTAACAATAAAAACCTACTTAAGTGTTTTAGATTTTCTTATTTTTCTTTTACATTCATGCATCACCAGGTAGCAAGAGAGCAATACTACGTGAAAGGAGCTCCAGAGAACATCATACGACAATGTACCTCTTACTACAAGGATGGAGCCATTCTTCCTCTTACTGCCAAAGATATAGAGAGAAATGGAGATGCAGCGATGGCCATGTCTTCTTGTGGTCTTAGAGGTTTGTCAGGGCTTACACTCTTCACCAAAACTCATTAACAATGTGTGAAGTTATTTCTTCTTTTTTTCTTCTTTTTGAAAGAATAAATTAAAATTTATTCTTTCAATTTACTGTCGCTGTTATTTTTGTCTAAGACCGTAAAGCAAAAGTCAAACGTTTGACCCTAGATAGACCAGATATCATTTTTATATAAAAATATTAATTACTACACAAAACACACTGTCTTGTTTCTATTTTGAAAATAAGATGTCAAACCAGCTTCTCTGGAGGACAAAACAAAAGATTTTTGCACTCTTTGGAACCAGAATCCATTGTTTTGTCTTCCAGTTGGGGTTTCATTCCCACGAAGAGTTTGGTGGATGGATTGATTGATTGACAGTTTGTAATAAATACACAAAAATCATTCTCTTTAGTGATTGCATTTGCAACCGGAGAAGACTTACAGCAGTTGACATTCCTTGGTTTCGTGGGGCTGCTAGATCCACCAAGGCCTGGTGTCAAGGATGCCGTAAGAACACTCCAAGACAGTGGYGTACATGTTAAAATGATCACTGGAGACTCAAGGGAAACTGCTATCTCTATAGGTAGAATTTTACAATCTAGTATAATAAATTCTATTTAATTGCCTCCCATTCTTTAATAGTGGGTTGTTTTCTTGGCTTCACATCCAAATACATTTGTTAATTTAATGTTTCAGCTGAGATGCTAGGAATACATTCACCTGGACAACCTACATTATCAGGAGATGAACTGGAAGCCTTGGATTCCTTTCAGTTGTCATCAGTCATAAACCAGGTAATTTGTAGGTCACTATTAACACTAATGATACTATACTTACCAACCAAGAACTTCATGTGGTGTGAAGTGTGCAATAAGGTGTACATTGGCATTAGCAATAGTCTCCTTCACTGTTTCCTGCACCATCTTGAAAGGTAGCCATGCCTTGTCATCGAAGCGAGACAACAGTTGAGCGTGCAATGATAGAAACCTGTGAATAATTGTCTGTAGGTGTGAAAGAAGGTTTCTATCATTACACGCTCAATGTTTGTGTTGCTTCAATGCAAAGGTATGGCTACCTTTCAAGATGGAGCAGGGAACTGTGAAGAAGACTATTACAGTGCTTAATGGTCATCTTCAGGAATTCATGGGTAATCTTTCTTCTTTCATGTTAATGAACACTTCATTGTCCTGTGGAGGATCATAGTAGCAGCCATACATGTAGTTGTTGCTATTTTTAGTACAACTTTTAACTGATTGGTGTTCTCATGCAGGTTACAGTTTTCTATCGTGTGAGCCCTCGTCACAAGGTTACAATAGTCAAGGTAAAAACACTTTCTCTTCTTTATTCCTTTCCCTTTATAATCTGTAAACTTTTCTTTATTCATTTATCCTTTTTTTCCCGTTTTGTTTGGTCACTAGTTTATCCCATCTTCAGTCTTGAAAAATTGTGCTGTCTTTGAATTCAACTTTAGTAAAACTATGGATGGCAATACTGCGTAAATCTGCCAGATTAAAACACTTACTCAAAGTGTAAGTCTATGAAAACTGACTATTAACCATTTGTTGCCAGGCTCTTCAAGAACACGGCCATGTTGTAGCCATGACAGGTGATGGTGTGAATGATGCAGTTGCTTTAAAGCGTGCCGACATTGGTGTYGCCATGGGTAAGACTGGTACTGACGTCAGCAAAGAAGCTGCTGGAATGATCCTAGTTAATGATGATTTCAATACCATTTTGGCTGCCATTGAAGAAGGAAAAGGAATCTACTACAACATCAAGAATTTTGTACGMTTTCAGCTAAGCACGTAAGTTTGTTTGTCTCCTATTGAGGTAAACTAAAGTTTGGAGTCTATTTTGAACTCCTGCACATCGTTGTTTCCAGTGCCATTATGCAGCAAACTCTCATGATAAGACAGTTATAGCCCTTCCCCTTGCAAACTGATTCAAAATTACCATAAGTTTTGGTTCCTGACTTGTTATTTCATYTTTGCTATTTTACTAGGAGCATTGCTGCTATCTCTCTTATAACTATTTCAACATTCCTCAAGCTACCAAATCCTCTAAATGCTATGCAGATACTTTGGATTAATATTATTATGGATGGACCGCCAGCACAGAGGTAATAGAGACAACAGACAATCTTATCATATCAGAATTTCTGTGTAAAAATCTTGGGGGTGGAGGTTTTTTTAAATGCCAAAATATTCTTTGGCTCTTCAAACTTGATCTTCAGCAGTCTCTTCCAACCTATCTTCATAATAAATTGTTAGTTGAATTATTATATTATGGATGTATTGTATTATGAATTTCTTGGTAAAAATCTAAGGAGTGGATGTTTTTAACGCCAAAATATGATTTGACTTGTCAAATGTGATCTTCAGCAGTCTCTGCCAATCCATTTTTCATAACWTATTAGTTATATAATGGGCGTTATTTATAATTATATGATAATATTCAAATCAAAGTTTTCCTTTTTTTTCTCGTCAGTCTTGGTGTGGAACCTGTCAATCGTGATGTCATGAGAAAGCCGCCACGCAACGTTAGGGACCCCATGATCACAAGGTCTCTTCTTCTTAAAGTGTTGGTTGCGTCAACTTTAATAGTGACAGGAACGTTATGGATGTTTTGGAGAGAGGTACAGATTGTCAATCATTATCGATTCCATAATTAAAGACTTTTAAGTACAAACCCCTTTGTTAATTAATACAGTTTTGTACAATTTGTTACAGAGTTTAGAGTGAACGCACTTAATCCGTGCAACTGTACAAAATCTAAGTAGTACTAATTTGTACTAAAAGTGGACCTGAAGCAAGACGGTATTGAATGCTTCATTTGTATCAATTCAATTTAATTTGCGTAGAGTGAACGCACTTAATCCGTGCAACTGTACAAAATCTAAGTAGTACTAATTTGTACTAAAAGTGGACCTGAAGCAAGACGGTATTGAAATGCTTCATTTGTATCAATGCAATTTCATTTACGTACTGCATGCACGATTACTAAATACATCTAAATAGAACTATTTAGTTTGTACAGTTGCACGGATTAAGTGCGATCACTCTATCATGGGTTATGAATGTAATCTAGTATGTTCGAACAATCTTGTTTTATCATTGTTTTATTAGATGAGAGACAATGTGATCACAAGACGRGACACCACCATGACGTTCACTTGTTTTGTATTTTTTGATATGTTTAATGCCCTCAGTTGCCGCTCACAGGTTAGCATGCCAATTGAAACCAAAATATTGTATTTCATCATATAATTATCTATAAAATACCTATATTTCTACATTACGTAAAGTGAAAATAACACATTCGAGGTTTCTCTATATAGTTGAAGTAAGAAAAAAGGTATTTTACGACATAATTTGCTTTCATATGTAACTATATGATTAACAGAATATTACCTGGTCACGCGGAGATATGGATTTTATCATGATCTTCAAGTGTTGAAAAGATCTCTCACGAGTGAGCGTAGCTTTCTATTGTCTGATCAACGCTATTTTTTAATATTTGAATAGCACCATTTCATGATTTAAGTCTCCTTTTTGAATACTGTATCAGTTTAATATCTATCTTTATCATTTCCAGGAAAAGTCGATTTTCAAAGTTGGGTTCTTCAAAAACCGGTTTTTCCTGATTGCAGTTGGAGGCTCTCTWATTGGTCAAATGCTTGTCATATATTTCCCCCCTCTTCAAGCAGTGTTTCTTACAGAAGCTCTTAGCATCAYGGATCTACTRCTGCTAATCCTTGTTGCTTCTTCKGTGTTCTGGGTAGATGAGCTTAGAAAGTTYATCTCTAAAAGAATGTCGCGGGACCGCAAAGACAAATATCAGAAAATGTACCCTGTTTAGTGTAAATAGACTGCCTTAATATGTACGWTTATATTCTTGTTAGACTGTGTAATGAAATTGAGGCTCATTTAAACCCAAGTGCCTCGTTTTGATGCCATTTGATAGGTCTACATTCTGTTGTGAATGCAAAGCATCGCAAAATTTGCCACAATATAACAACAAGAAATATATTTAAAAGTAGGTAAAACTGAAAGACTGTACGCTACTACTTGATTTGCAATGTATTGTGGGATCGGTCTCTGGAGAAAACAGAAGAAATCCGCCATGTTTTGTCCCAAAACATATCCTACAATGCATTGCGTTTACCGTATATGACGTCAAAGCTTCAGAGGTCTATTCCTGGAAGGAAATGATATTGCAAAAATTGCAATGTTAAATAATGAGRCTGTTGTCTTTATAAAAAAGTAATAGAAATCATAGTGGAAGGATGTCTTTGTTAACCAATTTTATGGGATATGAAATATAATTTCCTAACTTTAGTTAAGGACGATTTTGATCTATAGAATAATCATGTCAGACTTGTTAACCAGATGACTCAAATTGCTTTTTAGTCCAAAATATATCCTAATATATATATCTCCAAAAGATATCCTAATTGCTCTATTTGGTTATTACGTCATATCAAAACATTCTATTGTTTTAACGCYAAAAGAGAGAGAGGGGATCAGAGTGACTGCATATCAAATAAAATGTAGATGAGCTATCATTGATACATCACGTATGTCAAAATTCGATATATTGAAGTTCTACTTTCGGATGGAATATAAATGGATGCAAATTCCCACTGTTTTTGAGCATCTATCCAGCCGATGTAAACATCCTATGACGTCATAATGAAATAGGGTAATTTGAATTTTACTTTTTCAGAGTTATCATAATTGGGGAAGCTGATTTTTATTAAAATAATGTTATGATGATATATAATATTTAATATATGATAAAATCTACTTTTTTCTGCTTCCCTTAGTTTTTTCTGCTTTTATGTTTGTACTAAAAGACCCTGGACATGACTTTCTCACGGACTTAATATAGATCAGGATTTTGAAGAGCAACTATTTGTTACAATTTAGATTTTTTTATTTTGACAATATGGAACACTGAATTCATGATTAAATTATTTAATCCTGAACATTAGTTTATCTACAAAATAGTGACAAATAATGTTGATATTGTAATGTGCATAGTTCCACGTAAATATTTCAATAAACGACTTTTCTAAACATGGCGTGTTGAATGGTGATTACTACGTATCCGTAACTTTTTCCTTGCCAAACYGCAAACGAAACGTTGATCCCAATACTCTAATGTTAAGCCTGGATGACGATAACGCAAGGACTGGCGGTTATATCAATACTTCCGTCGTAAACAGCCACGTAAAGACCGAATGCGTTACGTAAAGACTGAGGATTGCGTAAAAAATCGTAAAGAGAAGACAGCTGAACGTAAAGACTTAGGCAAAGACTAACGGTTGGGTAAAGACTGCAAAAAAAAAACGCAGACTAACGATTGCGTAACGACTGTTAGGTTCTCCTGTCTTACGTTCTGTCTCGTTACGATGTTGCCAGATCCTGTTGGATTTCCGTAAAAGCCGACGTCAATTTTTTGATTCTCATTTCTAGCGTCTTCTTCGTTATGGCGTTTTCTTGTAGGAGCATTCGCATTTCGTCTTCCACATCAAGTACCTGTCAAGAAAAAATACTCAAGCTTAAAAAAAAAAAAAAAAACAATCCTTGGCATGAAGAAAGAAAAAAACATTACCCTTTTTTGAGCGATGTCTACTTCGTTTTGCTTGTCTTTTGACAACTTGTTTATTTGTAACTCGTAAGAGTTTTTCTCGGACTCGAGTTGACGCCGGAAAGCATCGTCAGCTGTTTTCATCTTCTCGACAGCATCTCTGAAAAGCCAACCAGTGTTAGGCCAACAAATTATCAATCAGCTCGTCGGATAATCAAGCAGTTCATTATTCAGTTCAGTTTATTTATAAATTTGAATGAAGTGTTCTTTGCTTGTTATTGTTATTGTTGTTGTTTTGTTTTTGTATTTGCTAATAAAGATTTTTCTTCTTTTTCTGAAGTCAAAAAATCTATCCACTAATCAACCAATTTCTCAACCAATCTATCAATGAAAAAAAAAATCGACCAAAGAAAGAAATTGATTTTCTTGGATTTCATCCCATTAATTCTAGTGTATTCTAGTTCACAATTCGTTTCGGAGCGTTTTCACGTATATCTAAAATTCTTAAGCTTATTCTAAGCCAATTTTTTAACCTTGGAGTTCGTTATATATACTTGAATCTGAAACACTATATTTTCATGCTACTGTTCGTTGTCTAGTAAGTATGAAATAATAAGTGGTGACTGCTCGCTTCAATCCTCGATGGCCATCAACACACTCTCAAATTTAAGGACTCGCAATCTTTCTAAAAACATAATCGACACCTTCGAAAGAAAGGATTTTCCAAAGCAATCTATTTTTCCAATGTTTTCCGGTGATGGGAGAATCTCGCTCTACTAACTATGAGCTAATTAAGGTGCGAAAGCATATGGCTTTCTTACCAGATTYTTGATAACAACAACAACAAAAAGAAAATCAAGTGGTCGACACTGTCAAAACAAAATCGCTCCGAGAATGGCCGATGCCACTGCTAAGATCGTTCTCTTTTCTGTCGAGTTGGGATTAACCATGGTTGGAAACGCCATTCTTTTGGTGTTGCTGTGGAGGTCAGGACAGCTTCATCGCAAAGGRTCTAAGAACTTCATCTTCAACTGCGCTGTCGCCGACTTAATCTCCASCATTATAAACATMCCWYTYGCCATGGACTACTGTGCGCTAAGAACTGGRCACCTACAAGGAACTGTTGCGCCTACCGCTGTTACTTTCTTTCTGTTATTTTTGACGSTCCTTATTSTGWRCAGCACKCTACTWATGATGGYCGATCGCTTATTGATCGTCAAATATCCAGTCAARTACCACKGCATTATGACAGTGAAGAGGGCGCGCTTTGCCATCGCGGCAGCATGGACATCTTCGTTCCTAATGGCCGCTATCGTCACTACYTGTAGGRTGATSTTGARTCCTCCGAATCTTCATGATACCACCKCTCAGTACATTGCGCGAATTCAGCAATCAAGCGGCAAATTCTTTATTTCTGTTAATGCGCTTTTAATCTTATTTCCAGTKACTRGTTTGACTGTAATGCTCAAGMGAGAACTCAAAAAACTTYCAAAACGAAAATCATCCGAAGCCGGAAAAAGACAAGCCRAAAAGCAGATCGCAAAGTCAACCAGGACCGTAGAGTTAGTGKCCATGACCTTCTTRGCCTGCCATTTTCCTCTGGTATTGAGCGCTTTGCTACAGGTTGCTGGTATTGAAACGCCCATAGACAAGAATACTATTATATTTATAGGAATCTTCTGCTCTCAACTAAATACTGTTCTCGATCCGATGCTGTTCATTCTAAGGTCGTCGGAGATACGCGGACAAGCTCTGAAAAACCTGCCTTTTAGAGTTGAAGGAATGCAACCGAACAGTATTTCCACACTTCAAAGACGCAGAAACTCGCCAACAGAAAAAGAACAGCACGAACAAACGGCTATAGACACGCCTTTATAATGCAGAMAGTTTGAAAATGATGTATATATATTTATATATAAGTAGAATGAAATTAAACAAAGCACTAACTTGAAGCTATGATAATTCTGTTTTATTTCGGACGTTTCGGCAGAGTACATACACACGAAAAAATTTGCTTTTTTTTTCGGAGCGCGCGTAATAGCTTACTTTCGCTATTTTAGGAAGCGAGCGACTGCTTTGTTGATAATTCTTCGTTCACAGGGAGCCCAAGCAATGACTTTGAAACCTATAATAGTTATTTTATTCAGTGTCACAATGGAGTATAAAAGGGTTTTAAAAAAACTCCTCTCCCTATATATATATTGTGGCAAGGGAGGAGACTCCGCTCGAAATTCTCCTAAAAATGAGCCAAAAACGATCGACAAAAATCCTTTTTTCGCGCTGAAATTAAATCAAAACGAGTTTCCAATTCCAGGACTTTTCAAGGATTTCAAGGAGTAGCGCGAACCCTAATAATATGAGCAAATTAAGCGTTACGTGCAAAGAAGGACTTGTGTTTTTTTTCCTTGCTTTTATTCTTTTCGCGGATAAAGGCGTTTTTTTAGGGGAAATCACAGGACATGAAAAAGTATTTATATTCAAATATGAATTCTATTAAAACAATATATAAAGTTGAAGAAGCAGGTTGGTTCCCCATAAAAACTTCTCAGGCCGCCCACGAAAATAACAAACAAAAGATTTGTTTTAAATGAAAACTTGCCTGTTGCAAAGACAGTTGCTTCTTAGCTCTTGAATCTCTTGCTCAAAACGTTGCTACATAGATGTCCAATATTACGAAAACAGTTCTCTTTGCTGTCGAGTTGGGAGGCACCATGATTGGAAACGCCGCTCTTCTCATGCTGCTTTGGAAGTCAAGACAGCTCCAGCGTAGAGGGTCCATGAACTTGATTTTTAACTGCGCCACAGTCGACCTAACTTCAGCCATGATAAACATTCCTCTTGCCATGGATTATTTTGTCTTCAAAACGGGAAACTTAAACGGTACTGTACCGCCGGTTGCTATTCGCTATATGTTGACATTCCTCTTCATTCTGACTCTAAATTCTGCGTTGATGATCATGGCTGATCGGCTGCTCCTCGTGAAAAAAACCGTCGAGTACGGCAACATGGTGACAGTCAAGAGATCGCGCGTTGCCATCATCATTACGTGGCTATCTACAACCGTACTGGCCGTCATACTCAACATTCGCAGATTTTTACAACACCCTTCGCACGAAACTCCTATASATTACATGAAAGCTGATAGCGAATCAGGCGGAAAATTCTTCGCTTTATCAACTCTGTGTATAATCTTGACGCTAGTAGCAGTTCTCACCAGAAAACTCTACTGTGAACTTCAAAAAACCCAGAAAACCACCTCAGASGACACGCCAAAGAAAAGAGCACAGAAAAAGGWAATCGTYAAGACCTCYAGGACCGCCCTTCTCGTAATGGTGATCTACTGGTCGTGCTACCTTCCAACTGTGATWAACAGTTTGTTGGAAATATTACAAGTGCCCATGTCAAGCTACCAAAACCTCCGAGGTTTTATCGCGCTGTTTTTTGCTCAAATGAGCTCGTTGTTGAATCCAATTGTCTTTATCGCGCGATTGTCAGCGATCCGACAGTCGGTATTTAGGCGCTTGTTTCGACCACACAGAATCAAGAACCTACCATAACAAGTGRCCGGACCATATCAAAAAGCGAATCAATAAAAAGATTTCCAAATTTTGAGACATCGCAAKATTTGCTAAAGCAAAGATGTTAATTTGATTTTAAAACCGAACAAGAAAACTGCGAAGTTGAAAAGTGAGGCATTTTTTTTAACTTAAATGGAAATACAGAAACAAATGAAATACTTGATGTTGTTGCTGCAGTTATTCTCATATATTACCCAAAGAATTCATTAAGATGTTATTTTGTATTTTCCATGAAATACCAGGAAATTTCCAGCACGAAAAAGTGATATCTTCCACTTATGTTACCAAGGATACTTCGTACAAAAAATTTCCTATTTCTTGCCTTATAGATATAAATTTGAGTTGAGTTTTTTTTGAGTTTTTAGTTCACACCTATAGTTTCTAGCATAACTATCACTTATTGTATGTAAATAGCCCAGCACTTAGCCTTTTGTTCTATACCATGTATATATATCTAGATTATAGGAATGTTTATCATTAAATACTGTCTGATGAGTGCGTAGCACGAAACTCGGAGTTACAGCAAAATCTTGCCTCTTTGATATAATATATATAAATTTGAGTTGATATAATAAAGAGAAGATTACATGGTCGCTTGGAGATACAAATTTTGAGCGCACCGCATCAACGTATCCTCTACATATTGCATGATTCACACTACACCATGAACAAAAGTGATCTCGAATTTACTGCATTTCGTTCTACCGCATCGGTAAAAAAAMCTCGTCGTATTGTTTAAAGAGTAAAATTAAGATCCTTTTCCACRATGGATGCGTTTTCTAAGCGTTATCCTCAGGAAATGAAAAACAATCAACGACATCATCAGCGTGGTTGTGTGGTTGGACATGATTCTTGTATAGTTGTTGTGTGGTAGCTATTATTAAAAAACAATGGTATCCATTGTAAATATATCTTACCATTTAAATGATTAAAATGTGAATAAAGCCAATATCAAGAATATATACCAGTGAATTTACATTAGCCAATAAATTCTGTACTCACTTGCTGGTTGCCAGAGCTTTGTCTCGCTCAGATATCAACGCTGCCTCTTTCTCTTTGAAACTATCCCTCATTTTGACGACTTCCGCTTCCATTTGACCGATAASGGCGCTTTTCTCCTGCCATTTACTACGCAGCGACCTGGAATATTAGTGTCAAGGACGATGAWATGAGCAATCATTGGATGAATATGAGCATGATAACATTAGTTATTTAAACATTATTGAGTTCGGGTAATGAAAGATTCGACGCTCAAAACTGGTTTAACGAGGCCTTTTTTMAATGAACCATCCAATTCTTTCTCAAGCGTCACAGCGGCCATCTTAGACTTAAACAAAGGATTTCTCATTATAGTGTCTATTGTTCATTCCTCCAACATGGCCGCCGGTCTTTTATCTTTTGAATCTCATGGGAATGTTTGAAAACGATCAATAGGGTAAAATGTGGGCGACAAAACAACGGAAGGTCATATTACGTAGCATTCATCTTGCAGGTTTAAACAACAAGATCAAATCGGACGTTCCTTACCTTACACTTACAAAAATCTAATCGCAAGAGCTTACCTGAGACCTTGTTTTGTTTCGTCCAACTCTTCATGCTTATCCTGAAGTTCCTTTTTYAATTCTCGCTTTCTTTCTGAAAGCGAATCAACTTCTTCCTAGAATAAAATGACAAACACGTAATCTTATAAGAAGATGAAACAAATAAATATCGACTCGGACTCCTGGATTCATCATGATCGSTAACTCGAATGATCGGTAACTCGTGTAATCCGTAACTCGCACAATCTTAACTTCAAACATCCAAAAAAAATTCGAGTTATATTTTACGCGAGTTAACTCGACCACTAATATGAACCAACGGCAACTCGAACACCTGTAACTCGAACCTCGACAACTTGTAGATATAGCCATTGCTAATTCTAACGATCCCAACATACMATTGTTTTACCTGAAATTATGGGGGTGGGTGGTGGTGCGGGGGTTTTGGTGGAGGTTTACCTTAAAATATATGTGTAAGGGTGGGGTGGGGTGCGAGTTTACCTGAAGTTGTTGACTATTAGTAGTTTCATTAGCTAACTGATTTTCAAGATCAGATATCGTCTTGGCGCTTTCGTCCTTGAGTTTTTTAAAATCGTTATCACGGTCTGTGACAGCCTATAAGGAAGAATGAAAGAGCAATGTTGCCAGCCGTTCATTTAGTCACTCGCCATTTCATTTCTCTCTCGAGAAAAAATGAAATAGTGCGAGTTCATTACAAGGAAACCATTTTTGACAACAAAGGWCAAATTTTTTTAGAAAAAATTAATCCCCAAAATCCGTTTAGTAAATCTTTGAAGTGATACAAAAAGTTGCGCATTTTCAMTTTTTTTCCGAAKAAYAATCTGGTTTTTAAGATTTTGAGCATGGATTACCTGTTTGAGTTTTCTGATAGTGTCTGTTTGATCTTCAATCATCTTGGCCTTTATTCGAATGGTTTCATTCTCACTCTAAAAGATAAAATAATTATCAATGAATATAATCACACTTTTGCTATTTTTAYGAAAGCTTTAAACGATTTTATACTGAATTCTTTGATCCCTTGTTACTTGTCAACTAAAAAGAGCGGGAAACSYCAACGGTAGGGGAGCCACCGAAAAACGCGGGAAAACTAAATGATGTCCGTACGCGTAAACACTGGAAAAAATCGCGCGCCATAAAGGTTGTAAATTTGATGGAAATATGATGTAAGTGTCCAAAATGATGGAAATTTGATGGAAATCATTTACATCAAATTTACATCATTTTGGACACTTACATCATATATACATCAAATTTACAACCTTTAAAGCGCGCAATTTTTTCCAGTGAAAATGGTCCACTAAGCCATGTGGGATTGTAAAAAACATGTATATGAGCATGCGCAATAAGCGAATTACAAAATAAATTATATTTTGATACAAAATATAGAATATAAGTCAAAGAGATTGGTCAGTAATGAGTATTTTTTTACCTGGGATTGCTTTTTAACTTGATTGAGTTCAGCCGTCAACGCTTCGATACGGGATTCCAATCGCCCACGATCTTGTGCGAGAGAAGCACCTCCAATTAAATAGTTCAATTAATTGAATTAATAAATAATTAATTGAATAATTAATCGTCTTATGCCTATGCTTATGTCCTACTGAAAAATCACACCTTGTTGTGCCAATTCCTGACTCCATAGTTTTCTCTCAGTCCGCAACCCTTCGATGACAGATTCTTGAGCTCTGATTTGCGCACCCAATTTGGATTTGTCCTGAAAAAAATATACATAAGCTTAAAGTAATGACATTCACACGCCCATCTATAATAGAATATTCATTTGTTCAATTGTCCAGTTATCATTATCTTCATTTTCACCATCATCGCTGCCATTATCATGTCAAATTATCATCATTATGATTGTCAATCTTAGCAATGAATAAACCACCAGCATCAAAACTTCTAAAAAGACTAGAGTGGTTTTCATTGCACTTTACTACTCTATATTTTGTATGTTTTTACAATATTAAACTCTGACTATTACACTTACAGGTTTGTGACCCTATTAAGGCCACATTAGACGACGCAACTTTTGCCTGCAACCATCGCATGCAACCTGCGTAAGACATCTTTACAACATGGCTACAACTGTCGTGGGGTTATTAAGACCTATTAAGCAATTATTTAAATCCCCACGACAGTTGAAGAAATGTTGTAGCGATAGTTGTAGACAAAAGTTGTGCCGTCTAATTTGCCTTTACAGTGAAACGTTCGCTCTTTGAGGAATTAAGTTATAGTTAGAAATAACAAAACATCACCGATAGTGAGAATCAAACAAACCTGCTCTAGCATTTCAAGCCGTGTTAATTGTCGTCTTGCGTCATTCAKCTGGCTTTCAAGGTGTTGAATTCTTTCCTAAATACAAAGAATGTCCTCGCGTAAGTACATATTTCAACATTCTTGAAAAAGATGATATAAAAGAGTCTAGTCCTTACTTTATACTCGGACACTATTTCATGTCGTCCCTTGGAAAGCTCACTTAGCCTGGCACGCTGTTCCTTTACCATCTACACCACAACAATTATTCAAATACATAAATAATAATAATTATTAAAATTACGTGTTTATATTTCATTTTAGAATCCACATTGCCTACGCTGTGCCAGCAATGATGTTGAATTTTATTGAAGAATTTACGAATAAAGTTAACCATAATAATTATCATCATCATCATCATCATCATCGTCATCATCATCATCATCATCATCACTATCATCTTCATCATAAACAACATCATCATCATAAAGCCGCGGTTACGCCAGCGATTTTTCGCTTACGCAGGCGAAGCGATTTTCTCAAAATTACCAGCGCACGATGTGGCTTCACGAGCGACAATGCTGTATCGATAAAAAAAAATCCTCACAAATACTTATTTGAATCTCCATAAAGAGGTATATGTACAAAAAAAGCTCAAATCCGATGTTCAGCTTTCATCCTACCCAAAAATCGCGTCGCCTGCGCAAGCGAAAAATCGTTCGTGTAACCGCGGCTTAAAGAATGAAATAGAAGTGGTCTTGAAGGAAAATGGTAAGGTATAGTAGTAAAGAGATTACATCTCTGCCCTAGGATGATGGAAAGGTATAGTAAATTTAACTCACTGCCGTCAATTCATTGACCATGTTACTGGCTTTGCTYTCTTTCTGTGTTGACGTCTGTATTGTCAGTTTATACTGGGCTGCCTCCTCACTTACACGCTCAAAAGCATCTTGTAACTGAAGACAAAGTAACAAGTCTTATCAACTCATTAATAATTCATTTGGTAGACATAATGGAAAATCATAGCCATAAACAATACTTTATATTAGCAAGAGGTTTATCCTGGTTTGMATTCAACTTTTTTTGGATTTTTCCAGGTCCTGTATACTRGAAATTGYTCTTTTGGGCTGRCATGCAAYCTGATTTTTAATWATCTGCTCATKATCCTTTACTAATTACCAATTGTTATGAYTAATATTCCTATCTGAGTTGAAACATTAATAAGTACTACTAACCTCTTTAAAGCGATTAGCTTCTAGTTGAAGACCCATGCGAAATTCATCTTCTAAAGCCGCATACTCTGAATCTTTCTTTTGGAGACTGCAACATGACAAACAAAAATTCAAATTGACATTGAATGCTGTTTGGTTTGAATGTCAGGCCCAGCCATTTGAGATTTTAATCCTTTTTAAAAAAGGTTACGTTGAAGTCTTTATGTACATTAGAGCAAATGCAGGAAAACCATGAAATAAAATCAAACTAAATACTAACAAATAGCAACTATTTACAGATACAATTTGTCAATATCAATAAAACAGAACATAATGACGATGAATCCACATGGGACCATTTTTAATTCATCTTGGTTGCGTTCTGGTTCATTGATACTGACAATTTGTCTCTAAATAGCTGCTATTTGTTAGTAAGTATTTAGTTTGATTTTATTTTATGGTTTTCCTATAGATGTTAACTTAGTTTACACTCTTACTAATATTTTCAGAATGAAAGTGAAATACAAAGGAGAAGTCTYCATTACCTTTGTTGATATTGTACAATGACTTGTTCATAACGAGCCTCTTGCTTGGCTACCTCACGCTCTACCACGTTACGCATTTCCTGACTATCTATTTTAACCATCCCCTCCACGGCATTCCTGTTAAAAGACAAAGTTTATCAATTAACAATTTGTCATTATTGAAACTAAATGATGACATTATTTTTACTTGTGTTCCTGTTCCCTTGTAGCCAGTAGTTCCTGGAGTTGCTGTAGTTGTCCTTTCAGCTGTGATGAAGTRTGTTCAAGAAGTTCTACTTCTCGTTCTTTAGCAGCGGCCTGGAGTTGATATTCTTGTGATTTGGATGCCTGGGAAATAATGAAAATGCAATAAGGAGCAATGCAATGTAGTAAAGCTATAAACACACTGTAAATGGTATGATTTTGGGAGAAAATCTTACCTCATAAGCTTGCTTTTTCATCATCTCAGCTTCCATCTTGCTCGTTGTGTCTTCCATGCTTCTCATGACCTTTCTCTGTTCTTCRTTGGATTCTTTTAATCTTTCCACTTCGTCCAGTAAATCCTTGTTCTTATTCTAACCATAACAAGATAAAATATATCAAGAAGCAATGCCTAGCTTGTGCACAGTTACATTGGCTTGTAAACCCTGTGTACAAATATTCCCCACCCATCCCCCCTTTGCAAGGATTTTTCCCTACAGGGTGAGGGTTGGGGAAAATTGTACAGGGGTGGGGAATGGATTAGATACAGAATCTACAATTCCATTTTTTATTAACATATACCTGCAGTTCATCACTAATATTTTTTAGTACAGCTTTAGATTCTCTCTCTTTGAGTAGTGCTTGCTTCAGACGAGCACTTGCAGCAATCRCTGCTTCCTGTAGTTTCTTTTCCTCCACATCTGAAAAAAAGAGATGAATGAAAATATTAATGGATAACAAAATGTACACAGGAAACCCAACCTATGCTGTACCTTTCATGAAACATTTTGGAGCAAGTTTCTTTTTAACGTTATCAGTCATATGGTAATTGTGCAATACAACAATTTCAAGCTGACAATTTTAAACTTTACCTTTATTTTGCATTCCTTGGATGTGGTCCACAAGTTTCCTGCCAGCTTGCTCTGCTTTCCAACGTCTTTCTCGTTCAGCTTCCAGCTCTTGAATCAGTGACTGTCAATAATAAAGACTCAATCAATATTGAAATTATCTGGTAATAGCTGTTTCTTGATGTTGTATTCATGTTTTTGTCTAGATTTGCTTGCTGTAGATGTCTCTCTTTCTTTCTGCTTTTCTTTCTACCTTTGGGCTTCCTGTCTTCCTATATGACAGACTGAGATGTGACCCCTAGACCCCTGCTTGGCCAAGAGGATACCACAGGGATTCCAAAAGAGTAAAAAGCATTTTGCCTGTCATGGAGTCAGAGGCTACCTTTGTTGGTTGCTTCTTTAAAAATGGTTGATTCAGCATTTCTAACTGTGTTAACTTTGTTTTTTATTATCACTGTTTTTGTTAATGCTGTAATTTGTTTTCCTAGATACTCCACTCACCAATAGAGTTGCATCATCTTCTGGCTTTCTAACATTCTTTGATCCATATATTGACTTCCCACTGACTTTGATACCAATACCTCCCCTGGGATCCCCCCCTGAGGTAGACGTCGGAGATGTTGTTGAGTCTGTTTCTCTAGTAACCATGGCCTTAGTAACCTTGGTCTTAGTACTAKTGGGTTTTTTATCCRCYRTTCTTTTTGGAGGGAMTCTAGTTCTTGTCTTTTTGACAGTTTTTGTAGCTTTTTCTTTGTGAGGAGGAGAATTCTCTGTGTCAGATTCATCTGAATTACTTGTTCCTTAAAAATGATAAAAAATAAGGATAAGAAAAATCATCATCATATTTCCTTACCCTCCCCTTGTAGGGCAYCAKTTTTCCCTGTAGGGGATGAGTGGGGACAMAGRWGCACATGTTACACTGTCATCACCACAATGCATGTTGATGACAGGAAGCAAAATGAAAATTATCATATCGTCATGGCAACTTCAAAAATTATATTTAGCGCAAAATAAACATTCTTATTGTAATTCTTACTTGTTTCTTGTGAGTTCTTGGTAGTTCTTCCTCTTTTGGATTCAGGCTAAAGAAAAAGAATYGAAAACACAATTTTTTGAGTATTTTATCCTGACAAATTAAACATTTCTATAGTACTTAAAAAAATTTCTAACTCACAAAAAAACAAAACAAATCAGATCTTTCTAAATTATACATAGCTGGACACAAGACGTTTCCCCCTGAAAATATACATTCATTGAGTGACAAGCTATGAGGTTCTAACTGCGTTGTATTTATATTCACCTTTATGTCAGCATATAAGAGGTTTGACAGCTGGTTCTCTAGTTTCTCAAGTCTGACTTCATGGTCAACTGAAAGTCTCACTTTAGTTGGTGTTTTCTATTAAGCAACAAAAACAAATTTATCCAAGTAATTTCTGCATGACAGCAATGCAAAATACAATTTAGAACTTTGTTAAAAATTTCTAAATATCCTTATTTACAAGAAAACTGCATGTATTTTGGATTTTATTAGCATGGCCAATCAGAAAGTACAATCAAAGAACTAACTATAAACCTTGCCTTGCAAGGTAATGCACTCGATAATTCATGCATATAGAAACTTTATATAATGTTCAATATATATTACACAAAATTGATTGGTCGAGAGCTGTGTTATTAAAGTGCTCAGGATCAGATGACRCCATTCAATCTCACACWAACTCTGATTGGTCAAAASAAAAGCCCTCTCTCTGGGAATGCATAAGTGAATGAAAGACTGAAATTTTAATGATTAAATAAACGAATGGAAGAGAGATGAAGAAATGACTTAATGGCTCAACAGGATGTGAGAAAAATTAATAAATAAAAAGAAATAGTATAACTTACACTAAACACTGTTTGGTCTTTGCTTGGTGGTGTTGTACCAGTACTGACATCAGTGTCTGWTAAGATGGGACGACTTTTGAATTTGTTCAAAACCATGTCAATTCTTGGTGTAGCCACGTCAAATCTTACATCCTACAGAAAAATACAAATATGCATGAAACAACTAAGATATAATTCACAACTTTTTGTTTTTTTTTTTCTAGCCTACCTTATTGGGAACTACCTCAGAGGAGCTTGAAGAAAGAAGAAAATCAAGGTATTCATCTAATTCTGAAAAAAAAGAAAGTTTAATTCACTTAGAATTGAATAAAATATTACATGTTTGTGGCAACTTTCTTGTGTTTCATGTGAAAATGTTTTCCTGGGGTGCCCTCTCAAAAGATAGGACAGCAAGGATAACATTTGKTATTTTGCCATAAATAAATCTCAGACTAAATTCTAGTTAGTGGATGACCAAGTGCTCAAAGTTAGGTAAAGCTAAAGTTTAGACAATTCAATTCATATAAATTTAAGCTTTAAAAAAATGTGTTGGTTCACACAAAKATTTTACTGGTCAAACTGAAATTTAGCCTGGACTTTGTTCATTAATCAGCTGCCATTTTTTCCCCTTGAATGTGGGAATACTTTTACCTGGAATATCTCGACCATGCCCATTAACAGTGGCAGGCCTCCCCTCACGATCCATACCATCAAGTACTACTAGTGACCTTAATGTTGACATTAAACTCGATCTATACCCTCTCAATTCACATACTGGATTCCTGTCACCATATAACTCAAAGCTCAGTTCTTGCAGCTTGAYGCATCCAACTAGTGAATTGATGACATGCTCTAGCGAAGACAATTGGTTTCCATGGAGATAAACATGTGATATATGATAATTAGAGCCATGCAAGTTCTTTAAACCAGATATGTTATCAATGAAATTATACGAAGCATCAAACTTGCTGAGATTCTTTAAATTTTCAATTCCTTCTACCAGTTTTATCTGATTACACGATAAGTTTAAAGTTCTCAGGGACAATAGATTTCCAAGGCCTTCGATCTTTGCAATCTGATTGGATGAAAGATCCAAATGCTTCAAATTATACAGGGAATCTAGACCTTCAATTTTTGAAATCCTGTTACAGTGAAGATTTAGTGATACCAAGTCAGAGTGAAGGCTCAATTGGAGTATTGAAGATATTTTTGAATCAATCCAGCATATTTCTTTTGGTCTTGTGTAACTTGTTGCGTCATTTTGCCAAGGCAGGTTTTGTTCAGCCATTCCTTTTACATGTAAAAATCTTAATTCTTGTTTAGAACCTCGTCAAGAAATTACAACACACTTTGTACTACCATTTCAGATTTGTTTTGACAAGTTTGAGGAAAGTTCGTTGTTTAACGATAATTTCCTCTTAAAAATCCAAACAAATCATTTTCACAAGCACGAAGCACTACATTTCAAGTGAAGTGCATGTTTGTGTCCTGAAAGACCAATTTCCTTCCATATTTTCAGCTGTTTGACATTTGCTATCATTTGTGTTGTCTTCGAAATTTTCAAAATGGCGCCAGACTTGACTTCTATTTTCGGCAATGACTCGTGAAGTATTCGTGCAACGATCGTAATCCGAAGAAGTCACGAGTATGAGATTTTCACGTCATCATTCCTGACAGATAACGTATTTTCTAAAACATTTCACAGCAAGATGATATTTTTTTCTTTTTTTACTCTTTGAATTAAAACATCGTACATTGTACTGTAATTGTAGCCTTTTTTATGATATGAGGTTAAAACTTGTACAATTGTTCAAGCTATAACAAATCAAAAAAACAAGCCATTTTAAGTTTTCATGCAATGCTTAAGGAAGAATATATTTGTAAAAAGAGCTTCGTTTTAAAAGATGTTTTACTTCAGTTGCCAAGTCGTTACCAAGGAAAATCGATTTCCGCAGTACCACCCCCAAAACATTCATTTSCAATGACTTTCTTGAAATGCGCATGCTCAGAAGGACTGGAATGCAAGCGTCGAACAAACATATATTTTTATAAACACGAACTTTAACTCAAAAAAATACCACCTTAGAATGTCTAAATTACAAAGAGGATCACAAAAATTTGCAAACGTAACAAACCTAAGTACAATTGAGGTGAAGTCAAAGGTAAGAACTTTAATTTTCTGCTTCGAATTCATATTCAAAGTAACGCAAACTYCAGGGTTCACGGACGCACCAACAAGTCTCTTCAACCAAATGCACAATTCAAGTACCCTCTTTCTCTTTTAGTTCGATGCAGAATTTAGAAGATTTGCKTCGGAGAGGAATCAGTTTCAAACTTACGAGGAGTTTTACAAATACGTTGAAAAGATCCACAAGCTTGAAGATATACCATTTACAACTTGGTATACCGACATCCACGGAGACCTACTTCCGATTAATAATGATGACAACTTGCTTGTAGCTATCACTACTGCAAAACCGCTGTTACGATTATTTGTGCAAAGAAAAGGTAAGCCATTGGGCTTCTCTAATTTGTATAACTTTTAGTTAAACTCCTCWAAAATTACSGAGAATTAARTATAGTTTAAAATCAAGTACACCGCCCATTTTGGAAAATWGKTAAGTTATATCATTTGCATGAAGTCCTGATRAAGCTCAAAAATCTASTATTTTAAAGCAAGATTTTGCTGAAGCAGAGTTTGTATTCKGTATTTGAATGGTTATTGTTTTGACTGAATTATTAGCTGAGGAAATTTGTAATTAAAATTTTTGATGAATTTAAGCTTTAATATGTAAATTGTCCAATGTTGGTGTCAGTGAAATATCTAGTTGATGAAATCTCGGGGAGCCAGTTTGAAACGATACCACGGATTGTGAGCTGTRGCAWTATAACGTAAATGATTTTCTCCAGCTAATAGTATTATTAATTCATCGACGTATCACTGGAAGTGTTTTCATATTTGTTTGAACCTTTACTGTATCAAATTGATTCGAATCTTTTTCGAATCTTTTTCGTAAAKGTGAAATTTAATTGCCTAGTTTTAGTCGAATGATAAAAACCGAAAATGATTAAAATTCTTCGCTGATTCATCATGGYAATTACTGTTTTTCGAAATTAAATCAATATGTAAACAGTAGGCTATTGTTTAGCATTTTATAGTTATTACTGAAATGATTTGCTTTCTAAAATTCTCTGGAAATTCTTGATAGTTGCTTCAAGCTGGATAAGGAATTTTGAACTTCGACCCAGCACAAAATCTGTCTTGGTGCATGCAAGAACGTCTCTGAAAAGATCAATTATWCCAAGAATATTATTTCTGAATACTTTCCCAGTGATTTCATTTCCTTGGTGAGGTTGATGAATGCATGTCTAGGTCTTTACTACAATCTTCTGTATCAAATTGCTTTTGTTATCTTACAGCCTGTGGATTCTCTCTGTTATCCTATATTTTGGTCAATAAACTTTTCACTACTTTGATAATGATCAAGTAATAATCTTGAGARGGTATTCTCTGATTGGTCTCTGGACTGACTGATTATGAATCCCTAAGTTGTTTAGCAGACATTTTTTTGGTTGAGTTATCAGTAGTATCATATCTTGAAATCCTAAGTATGAGATTATATGACAAGCACATGTTTGTCAGAACTTTTATCAGTCAGTTATTCACTTCACAAAATTTAACATTATAAGACTAAATTTTAGTCTAACATTTGATTTCATCAAGTGAAACATTCCATTTTTTTAATTGTATTTTTGGAAGGTCAAAAATTATAGAATTATCTTTGTTTTTTTCCCTGTTARATTATATCTTGACAAGCTAAAATACTTTCTAGGTATTAATGAAATATAAGTTTATCTTCTGAGCGAACCATTTTATGTGCTCAATTGGTCAAGTGTTTATTATTTTGCTCTTATTTATACTTATAGAAAAACACAAAAATATTAAATTATTTTGTATAAACAGGTAAAGCCACTTCAATTTCAAGTGTTATGCAGATTAAGCCTTGTTATACAAAGTGAAACCATTTGTAGTTTTGAAACTAGTGGCTGCCATTTCTGTTTCCTTTTTGACCACATTTTGAAAAACCAATCATTGTGGTCAACACGTTGCAATTCATGTACAAACTATAATGATCCCATGAGGAAATTATTGACATGTATTCATGTTATATCATTCAAAATGTACAAATTGTACAATTTCCCTATTCTAGACTAATATTTAAACATCMCCAAAACATTGTTAAAAAGCAAAAGTTTAATTCAACTAAACTGCAAATGAAAAAATAATTAATACAGAACTACCCAGAAGAAATACATAATAGCAACCTACAAAAGTGAAAACAGAAGATGTTTTTAAGCTTCATGTCAAAACAAAATCATAAATTTAGTTTTTGAAACCTGATCTGGAACTTCATACCAAAAGTTGTTGTTATTCTTTCAATTGATAGTGTAGGTTATTTGACAGACAATGGTATAACTGTCCATAGTCAAAACAGTAAACTTTTAACCTTTTGCTTGTCTTTAATATATTTCTCAAAAGGTTAAGACTGATGTGTCCATCAAAATGGAAAAAAAAGATAAAAAACTGATGTTATCACAATTYCAAACTGTTTACGTATAATTGACAGTTTTGACAAATTGATACAATAGTTTTCCYATATTAAAAATAGTTGATACAAATTTATATTGTTTATCTTTGCATTCCTGCATAATTGTGCATTGTTTGGTATGACAAAGAACTTACCTACCGCAGAGAAAGGAATTTTGAACCAGTTCACCTAATCTTTCTATACTCAAGCAGTCTCACATGTACATGTAGTTATAACCAGTTTTCCTTAAAGATCAAAATCCATTTATATTCATTAACTTTCCTATGCCATTCCTCTCTGACTTGGTAAAGCAACTTTACAAAAGCAAAAGAATGTTATTTTAATGAATTAAAAAACCATCTTTAAAATACATTCTAATGGTTTTGTTTACACTTAGTGTGTCCTAAATTATAGCCATAAAAGATCTTAATCTTCTTAATTTTATTTCCTGACATTATCTTGTCATTGTATTCAAATAAAAAATGATTCAGAGCCTCACATGACAAGTTTTTTGAAGTAAAAAGTATAGGTATATTCCATGGATAATTATATGATAAATATCCWTATACTGAMACAATTATTTATTTCTCAGGTGAAGGATACGGTCAGAATGGATTACCACCCGAAGTACAACTACGTAAAAAGACAATGTTCTCCAACATCACACACCAAAACAAATCCACGCTCAGCAGAGTCAATATCAGCACACCACAAGATTTCCGACGTGTTTCAGCCATTGTTGATGTCGATATACTTCCCGAGACTCATAGGAGAGTTCGACTTCTCAAGCACAACTCAGATAAACCTTTGGGGTTCTATATCCGTGATGGCACAAGTGTCCGGGTAACACCAAGCGGACTGGAGCGAGTRCCAGGAATATTCATATCTCGTCTTGTTCCAGGTGGACTTGCCGAGAGTACAGGTTTACTGGCAGTTAATGATGAGGTACTTGAGGTTAATGGTATCGATGTGTCTGGAAAAACTTTGGATCAAGTAACGGACATGATGATTGCAAATAGCCATAATCTTATTATTACAGTCAAACCAGCAAATCAAATGAACAATCCGAAACCAGGAAGTGCCCTGGAAAGATTGAACGGCAAGTCAAGAAGTCTAACGAACCTTAATTCAATACACAATAATCCCTCTACTGGATCGCCGACAATCGCTCATGCTTACTCGAATGCGCTAATGGACGATGATATCCCTGATAGCGATGAGGACGAAAACCCGACAGTCGATGAAGAAACTGGAGTGCTTTCAATATAATTTCTAATTGTTCGTCATCCTTCATTCATSAAAGACATCCAAGTTACGGTACATCTTTTGTACATACTATTCTTTTTGTTACACATCTGTGGAAAGATTTGTAAAAAAAAAAGAGAATATCCTGCTAAACTCGACAGTCGCTGTTCTGAGACAACAATCAAATCTTTGCATATCATTGAATGGATTTTAACTGGAACAAACAACATTGAAAACATCATCTAAGTTRTGCATCATATACTTGGAGAACCATCTGTAAAGTTTTAGTACATTTTGCCTCAGCAAAGAAATGTCTTTTCGGACATATCTGGCCCCTAAGTGGAAAAAATCTTTTTTCTTTTCATGTACATGATTTTGGTCACAAAAGAATGAATAACCATTGCTTGCACCAAGCTATCTGACGGACTTCACTATAAAACAATTTCCATATTTACCTGCGTAAAAGCCAAAACTTGTTTTATTTGCTTCTAAAACAATAATTGTTGGGATCATGGGAAAACTTTTTTTAAAAAGCCAATGAATATTTACTTACCTTAGTAAATACCTCCTAGAATTTAAAACTTGCACCCCAAAATTCAAATATATATTCATAAAATTAATTGCCATAAAAATGACAATAAATACAGTGGTTTTTTACAATCCTTTAATGTGTTAAATGCTTAGCAAAAGAAACAATGGAGTTTAGCTCAAAGGTGATTTTTCACTCCTTACTTAACTTATTCAATTTTCAAAATGCTTTTGTTTTGTATTGTTTTTATCCATTACCTGCAGTAAGCATACTTTCTTTRAAAGATTTATGAAAACCATTGTATAAATTGTAGGCACTGCTTCTTGCTTAATCCTACTACAATTGCTTAATTCTTGTTCCAATTCTTTCACAATTTGCCACCAAAAAATACAATTATTTGATAAGTTTATATGTGAATAAGGATTTGGTTTTAATCGTAACCTCTACTCAGGTTTTGTCAAAAGGAGTTGGTTAATAATTTAGCATTATAGATATTTTATTAAATAGGTTTAAATTTCATGAGATTTTTCATCATCATGGCAAGATAGAGTTATAAACTAGTAGAGATGTTTCCTTTTTTAAGACTATTGGAAAMTATTACAAGAAAACCTCTCTACTAGAATACAGTGGCCTGCAAAGTGGTCTGTGAAGAGATGACAAGGCCTTTGTACAAACACTAAAATTGTGTGGCATTTTAAACACAAACTAGTGCTATAAATTATGCTAATTTGTCTTTTTTCTATTTTGGAATAAGCTCTTATTACCAAGACTTTAAAAAWAACATAACACACTTTCCGTGTTTGTACTCAATTCCTTGCACTCTACCATATCAGAGATTATAGAATTCCACTAGAAAAATCTTCAAATGCGTGAAGCCAAACTTGAAATTTCATAATATYGTTATCTAACTTAATTGCTAGACAAACATTAAAAAAACGAAACGTTTATATAAAACAATTCTTGTGGATTATTTTCCATTGTCTGGGAGAAAACAAAATAAGAGTTGGTGTCCTCATTCTCAATTGACCCATTTAACTTCCCTCTATGGAACACATGCATGAACGTTCTCTATGGAGCTGTATTATATCTGGTGTTAACAAATATTTCAACACTTTGACATAAAGAAACAACTCTAATTGAGAACTTTTGTATGGTCTGAAGTGTGCAAGCTGAATATGAAGCTTTTTTGACATGACGGGGAACAAAAACAAAACAATTGGTTGATTTCTAAATTTATATTCTTTAAAGGCCCAGTGTGCACCATTATGCTTTGAGGCCTGGAGGCAGCCATTTTCAGTTTACCGAAAGGCTATAACTTGTACTGTAAGTGTTGAATCTTTGACCATCTCACTTTTCTAAGCACGGTAAATGCTAATATTAAAGTTTTCAACCATCTGACATTCATTTAATGGTGATATTTGGATACTACAAGTATTTTGGTGTAAATCATAACAATAACAGAGGCATGCAAAAGCATAATGGTGCGGTGCAAACTGGGCCTTTAAGTCAAATTAAGGTATCCTCCGACACAAGACTTAACTGCACAGGGGGCTAACAAATTACACAGCAAATTATATTTTATTGTATTTATATCTTTGCCATATCTCCTAAAAAAATAAATATATAATACAATTGGACAAGGCTCACTTGTAGCCTCCTTAAGCAGACATTCTTATAGTTAGAGAATTGAACCACTAAGAACGTTTGCTTATGGAGGCTAGCTCACTCACAGGCAACCACCTACTTATTCTCTCTTTGAGATCCCTGGAGCCCAACCATCACTTGCTTTGACACAGGGAACCCAAACTGAGAGAAACAAAAAAAGAAAGTTGCCTATGGGCTGAGAATACCCTATGACAAGGAATCCAGAGAGCTGAAGGTTTACGGACTCCATGAATAACTTTCACAAAGCATCAGTTCGTAGTCCACGAGGCCAAGAGATCTAATTGTTTTAGTATTACCATACTAGTTGGACAAAAAAATGAATGAAATATATAAATAACTAAATGTTTTTAATGCTAAAAACACACAAAAAGTTGTCGCTTTTCACTAGTCGAGGACTATTGAAAATAGACCCCGTGTAGCGTAGCCAACCAGAACGAARGATTTGCAATAGTCCACTAGTAAGGTAATACTTATTGCAATTAGACAACCATTAATTTTTGGGATTCCTGAATACAGCTCTCATTTTATCAGATTCTGTTTCTATTGATGTGGATTCTAGATTCCAAATGTCTGGATTCCACAGCCACAATTTTGTTAGAATCCATAATCTGGATTCCATGACATTGGGCAAGCTKAGGATATATATTGGGAAATTGATCCATATGTTATCCATAAATGTAAGTRTCGCTATATTCATTCCTTCCTTCGCACTTCAGTCTCAGCCATTGTTGAAAKGTCATCTCTAGAGTCCTATCATCRYTCTCATCCTGATAGAGTGAWACATCCTTGCGAATGTCAGTCTGAATAGGTGAAAGTTTGTTCTTTTGCTTGGATTGTTTCCAGTCCTCAAAGCTTTTTCCTGTTCCACCTCTCCTCTTCATCTCATTTTCCATTTCTTTTCTTGCTTGCTCTTCACGTTTCCGTTGTTGCTCTTTTTTCTTTTGTTGATTCTTGGCTTGTAACCAGTCGTCAAAATTCGAAGACCTTGAGCTTGCTACAGAACTACGAGATTTACTACAGAAAACATAGGAAACATGAGACGTGTTTGTGTATTAATTTAGACATGCCTATAGAGCAGAAATTAATTACTAGTAAACAATTAGAAAAACGGAGGCTAAGTAACGCAGGCTCAATTTTACAGGAAAGTGAATGAGCAGATTTGTCCTCCAATTATTAAAGTGTTCTTTAAGTGGAAGTCAGTGAAAGCAGAGCAGTTTTCAGCAATTTCTTTCTTTTAATTTGTGRTTTTTGGAAAAGATGTTTCCCTCTATATCAGAAAAGTATCCTTAAAAGCAACGTATCCACAAAAATGGAATGGAAGTGTGAAAGAGAGGTCAGTGAGCAGAACACAAATGAAAACTCATTCTTTCAGTGCKTCCCTAACTTTTTTTATTGACATTCACTTTTATAATTGTAAAATATGAACAGTACCTGCTTGTTAATCTTCTGTCATCCAATAATCTCCTTCGCATTGATGTAGGTGATACTAAAAAACAAAATAAAGCTCCAATGATGAGCGCTCTGCAGATAATATTAATGTTATATTCACTTTCATGAGAATCGAAGACAGCAACTGACAGGAACTGACAGCAACCTTTACGTGAAGTAAGAATGTAGCAATTTATAAAGACAATGGTTGTGATGATGATACTAATGATAATGAAACTTACCATGACTAACACGGCCTCTCTCGTCAATTGGCGGCAGCTCAAACTCTGAACCATCATCAAAATATTCTTGATGTGCAACTGGAGGTTTCCGTCTTGGGGCATTCAGCCCAGTACCTGCGAACTCACCCGGCGGAAGGGTCTGACAATAATACAACTGGGCATGTGTCCCTTTGAACCAAATGGGAAAATTAGAATCAAACTGTTGATGCATCATCAGTGAGGTACTCCTCTTTCTTGACTTAATCTTGGCTGCTCTTTGCTGCCATTGGAATAAAAATAGATGTCTTTCGCTGTCTTTGTAACCACACTGGCTTGCAATCATCAATGGAGTCTTTCCTTGAGCATCTGACTCATCAATCGCTGCACCTTTTTCAAGCATTAAATCAATACTGATGGAATGTCCTTGAGAAGCAGCGACATGTAATGGCGAGCGCCCAAATGGAGTTTTCATGTTTACATTGGCTTTAGCACTATCTATTAAACWACGAATTAACTGGGAATTTCCTCGGTGAGCCGCTATGAATAGAGCCACTGCCGCTCTATCGCTAGCTACAGTTAATTTACTTTTATATAAAAGAGGATCCARCTTTTCCCAGTCTTTGGAAATCACAATATCTTGTTTGAAAACACTTTCGACATCACCCTTAGCCGCGGCAGCTATTAAAGATTCCCAATTTCGCCAAATTTTTAAATTTATTGTTGCTCCAGCGACAACATCGTTGTATTTTAAATCTGAATCGTCCATCATATCACCTTCATCGAGATACTGAAGCCTTTGCAAGTTACTAGGAATACCAACAACAAGTTCTGCGTAACATTTGAGTTCACGAACTTTCATGTCCGAGTTGACATTTTTAAGTAAAAATCTCTCTGAAGTCGGYGCCAATTTGATGTAAATGTCAAAGGGAWKGGTTTTCAGATTCKTTTTCTTCTTCTTTTGTAAGGCCATCATTCGAGGTAAGCCGCTAAACGGCTTTTAAGTTACAAACACGTTCCAATTCGAAGTCAAGAAGCCATTTTGAGGTTATTGTTCTTTGGAACATTCGTCATGACAACGGGTACCAAAATAGACTCTACACAGGAATCCCAATATTCACAATKAAACTTGTTCATTTTTCTATACCTTGTATTCACTTTTTTGATGAGTTTTTTTTTTCCTATTTATTTCCTACGCTTGCTTTTATTTCATTTTTTCCTTTTTCATCCTTTTCCCAATTTCACCTCCTTCCATTCATTTTTTTTTCACCCATTCCTTATTTTCTTATGTCTTTAAAATCACAAGAAATCATCTGCTGYTTTTGTGCCACGTTTTCATATCTTTAATTTCACAGGTGCGATTGATCAAACAACAAAGCCGAATTTCAAATATCTCTAAACTTGATTAGAATGCTTACTTTTACATCAATGTTTTATTGGATGGACAATATTACAATTTCTTAGCAAAATCAATTTAATCATTGTCATGTATAAATGATATTCACGCTCATTGCTCGCGTATATTTTTATCATTTCTTAAATGATGGTCCTACGTTGGAATTTAGCTATTCAAATGCACACACCCTAGTATGTAATTGTTCCCTAAATGCATTTGCATCCTTTGTGTGCCTAGTATATACGGACTTCTTAAAAACAACGAAAATAACGTGACTTTTGACCTTACAAAGAAACTAAGGTAAATTCTAATGAATTCAATATCCGTACAAATATCAATAATCACCAGCTAAGGCTCACAGCTTGGCGTAACCGAAAATTAATTCAAGAACCACTCAACCTTCGCTACTAAATCGTACCGGAACTACAACGCACAACGCAGCTTGGACTTGAACGGAAACACCTTACAGATCGGGTCATCGATGCTCATACTTTTACCCTAGTTTCTGATGTTTTTTGGAGTTATTTTGGGTGCGTTTTGAGCTATCGGTCATCAGAAATAACGCTTTCGAAAGTCCGTTTCTCTGGAGTTTATGCGTTTGTAAGAACAATGTGCTTTTAGCGACGAAACACATGTTTTGTGGGTAAAGCGTTTGTCCTGGATGGTCGCTGAAAACAAGACGATGCGATGCTTCTCTTGTACATCCTGTTTAGCTATATGGCTAAGGTCACAACACATTTCCCAGGCGATCATACCCCTAAAGGTAAGGGACGCGTCGTTTTATACCATGGAATCGAGTCGTTAGTTTTAAAAAAACACACACACTTAACCGTTTAACCGCGTTACGACTTCAAGTGAATTGGTTTTGGATTCTAGTTGAATTTGAAAGAATTATAATTGAGATATGCTCTCGAAATGCCACTAATAGCAAACCAAACATTGGCTTGATTTGGTAGGCGAAATTTAGCGTGACTTATAATCTTAGCAATCGTTCTTTCTTATGCTAAATAGCCTCGCTAAGCGCCGACTTACAATTACATAACGAGATTCTTTGCGTAAGTGAATATTATCGCTTAAACTCTCTAYCAAATCAGACAAATTGGTATTCTTTTTATGTCTGCAAAGCAGTACGACTTTATTGTTAACAAAGACTCTTCACTGCCACAATACTTAAGTTGAAGAGTGAGGACTAGAATTAAAGCGGACATACAAAAAACAACAACGGAGAAATAACCTGTGCTTTATAACAATATTATAATAATACCACAAGAACTTTTTCACAGTTTTAAAATGATTTGTTGACATATTCGTCAACACTTCAGCTACTGAAATAATCTTTTTCCAATCGTACATCGAGAAAGTTTTGATGATATTGACGTTAATGGTATTTTTTAGYGTGACAATCAGACCACGACTCGGGTTTCCATTTTTAGGCAAAGGTCTTTTGCCTTTCATAAACATAATTTCTAGATTTTCCGCGCAAATAAATAACAACTGCAAATAATGCAGCATGGTTACTGACTCCACGGGACATCTTAGCAAACATTCTTGGATCCGTCCGTCACATTAATTCTACTGTTCTAAAATTCACCCTATGAATAGCTTACTGCAACCTCTAAAGAATATTACTACACAAATGACGGTACGTGTTTTGAATATTCAATATTTTCAATGTTGATAAAGTTTGTTTGATTAAGTGAGTTCGGCTCCAGACGACGTTGAAATTGTCAGACGAACGCTCTCTGGCACCACACTGTGAGAAAGATAATTTGTAAACCGAAGTGAATTTACATTTATGGGATTTTGATCGATTTTGACAGCTATATTCGAAACGGAAACGTCCAAGTGGAAAATACAATTACACCAGACAAAAGGAATTTGGCTAATACCTTTCGTTATGATCAACATTTTCTAAAATATTTAGGATACTACGCGCGCTGTGATTGGTCGAAAACCATGTTTGATTACAGTATCAAAACACGCTCGCGCGCGTCAAAAATTTCTTTTTTCCCGCCGTTTGCATTTGTTGTTGTTATCATTCATTTTCAAGAACAATGAACGAAGAAATGCCTATTTATGATGTCCTCTGGGATGATATCCCAGAAGAAGAGCTATCAAACGTTTTAGAAG